TTTTCCAACAGTGGAATGAGGAACTCGTTAAATAATGTGATACGAATGCTACTTTTAATCTCGTCGTAACCATTTTTGGAATTTAGTTCGGAAGGTTTACGGTAGATCTTACGCAATTTCGTGTCATTATTGAAAAATAAGGAAGAATCCATTTATCGGTTCTCACTTATATCTAACCGTAAATGGAATGTCCACAAACGTCTGAACCGAAAATTGCGAGAATTATTATCAAGCACGCGTTGAACGTAAAAATAGAGTTTATAATATTCTTTCGGAGCGAGCGTTATTCACTGCCATGATGTAGCTCGACAGCTGCTGGTGAAGAATATCTCCAATATCTCATCACCTCTAAAGTTGTACAAATATTTTCCAAGTATTTCCAGCGAAATTCCGAGACTTGTGAACAAGAGTACATTTGTGAGGGTAAAGAGCTGTTCCAAATTGGTCAATACCAAATAAAGAAAATGATTGTGAATGAAAGAAAATGAAGACGTGAATAGACTAATTTAATAAAAGTCTATCTAACTGAACAGATGAATGACACTCATTGGCATCCTATAAAAAGAACTTTCTCATACAACATGACTATTTTTTTTACATATGTAAAGCTGTGATGGTATTGATTAATGAAGGATTTAATGTATAATTCGGGGTATAATAAAACGCATTCTACACTGAGAGAAATATCGTCATAATATCACAAACTAATTTCTTGCTCCAAATATCTCATCTCTTGAGGATAAATTTCTTGGGATAATAATTCCGGATAATGTGTCAGACAATATCAGATTTCGGTGAAGTGTTCATGACTTGAACATGAACATTTCATGATAAAGTGAGAATTTCTTGCCACCAGAAATCGTTTTTTTCGTGTCAGAAGATAAGAAAACGACTAAAAATGTTAAAAGCTTCGATTCAGTGAATCATGAATCAGAGACTTTCATATTGAATGAATAGAGAGTTTATGCAGAGGAAAACCTCCAGATATTAAAAAAATATAACCTTCGCTTACACTCAATCGTTTTGAGTTCGAAGGGAACCAATATCTTCTTTTCCTTCTGTCAAACTATTCTTGTCTTACAAGGAATATTATGTCATTTCGAAAAAAGGCATCACCTTTTCATTCAGTAACTTCCTCCTTAGCCCGAAGAGCACCGATTTCTTGTCTGAAACCTACCATAAATTGATCAAACATGTATGCGATGTTTTTGGCTCAAGAAATGATTTTTGCGATATTACATCGATTTTTCTCCCAGTGAATTCTAGCTAGTGCAGAATTCTCTCCTTTCAGGAAACTGAAAAATTCCCCAGAAAGTCTCCGCAAGAGCGCGACATAAAGACAAAGAGAAGCGATATTTTCTATCAAATTAAAACTCTCAACCAAACAACTCGATTCCGTATCTCCAAAAGAGATCTTCGTCCGATTCTCCAAAAGAAACTCTCGTTTATCAAGCTTTCATTCTCTCTGTTTTTCGTGGAGGTTCGGAGACGTCTGGATGCTGAGGAAGTTTACCGGCCATGGAGGATGAAAAAAATTGGTAACAGATGGTTGCCATATTGCCGGAGGAGCGGTATGGCTAACTGTATTAATTAATCATCAATAAAATTGGTTCAGGTATAGCATGTACAGGATTAATGCCAACTTTCAACATCGTCATCTGTCCAAAAAGGAAACTCACCTAATCACTGTTATTGTCGCTATATCGCGTGTGAGGTTTTCCTCGGAGGGGATATGAACCCAAACAAACCTTAGGTTCAAGGTTATGCCCACCCTCTTCGGCCGGCGGACTGCCATCTCATCCGCCCACCGACGTTTGCACCCCCTGGAGACAGACCCGGCTGGTGGGCAATATATACAATGTCGTGCTATCGTACGATGACCACGGACAACCCACGGAAATACCGAAAGTTTGTGCGAATATGCCGGAAGTCGTCAGCGTCATCTGCTATTTTTACTAATATCGTTGGGGCAATCGAATCTAGCCATTTTTTTTCTATTTTCAGTCGCTTGGTTTACATTGGATGAATTGTTTTGAGTAAAAAAAAGTTGGCTGATGAGGTAAGGTCCCTGTTTGGACCTTGAAAGGTGTAAAATTGAGGATCTGATGTGTCTAAGGAGAGACTAAGCTGACCTTCATAAATTTATTTTTAGGTTTTCCTTGAGAATGAGACAACAACTTTGCACATTTGTACATGAATTAACGAACATTTTCGTTCTCAAATTAATGATTTTTCTTGTTCTAAAATTAATCCAATCATGGTTCAAGTACCTTCTATACTACCTCTGGATAGCAAATGAGTAAATTAATTAATTCTAAGAACAACGTAGGCCATAACCATGAGTTTCTCAAAATCAACAGCTTTGTTCCGAATATTGGAAACTTTTCTCCTACACCAGCTTGCCAGATACCCTCCAAATTTTCGTCATTCAAGTGCAACTTAGAAAAGCCTAGGACTTGAATAATTCCTTCCAAGGCAGCTCAACATCAGCCAAAGACAATCTCATGAAATTAAACGAAGAACGAATCACAGATGAATTGATCAACAAATTGATCATTTTGTTAACCAACATTTTCTCTCTTCAATCAATGATCTTTCCTGTTCTAAAATTAATCCAATCATGTTAAAAGCATCTTATATCTGAATACCAAAATATATCTGAATAACAAATGAATAAACCAATAAATTCTCAGAGCAATATATGCCATACCTATGAGTTTCTCAGAATGAACAACTTTGCTCTCAAAATTGGAAACTTTTTCGCTGCACAAGTTTGCTAGATTACCCTTTCAATTTTCGTCATTGAAGTGCTACTTGGAAGGGCCTCCAAAAGGTCCTCACATGGACACCCTCAGCAGGGCCTCGTTAGAACCTGCCTAGGTCCTTCCAAGACCGCCCAGCACCACCCAAAGACAATCTCATGAAATCAAACGAAGAATCACAGATGAATTGATCAATAAAACTGCTAATTTTTTTTGTTGTTTGTAAGTGACAGTCTCTCTCCGTCATGATACGCTCTGGCATTTTCCATCGCACTCCAATCCACCCGACGGCCTAACAGTCCACTTCCTAACTTAATCCGTAACTTCCGACGCCGCGGCAATCTGACATCCTTTTTATTTTCATTGGGTCCGAGCCACAACGTTGATGCAGACTCGTTCGTCTAACGTTCCCAGGATTATTTTTTTCTATCGTAGCTAGCGCGTGTTTCGTATATCATCATCGTCATCACGGTTATGTTGCACATGCGTATACGCGCACAATACCCAACTAATCAATTTACTAGTTGGTCGAGAGTGTACCATTGAGTCAGCGGGTTGTATATAGAATAAAAAGCGTTATATGATGATGAACGTCGTGGCTCAAGCTGGTCCAACCGAGAGCAAATTGGACCGGCCATGGCGGTAAGCTTGAGTGCGGCTTCCGTCGTTCACCGTTACAGGTTCATAAAACCTGTTAACCAATTATTATGCAGGGTGTCCTCGACAATATCTTGTTTCGATTCAGCACAGCTGCTCAAGTTGATGGGCTTTTTTTTCAAGTTTTCGCGGAGTGACGGGTCTATTTCCGGGCGGTTTTCGGGATTCTTATCGGTATGTCATATTCCAAATTGCTTGTCATTCGGGGACCTAATTACGGCGGTAATGGAGGCTGCTTCGGTGCATTTACTCGATTTGCACCTGGCTTTGATAACGTTAATGCGTATCACGAACTGAATTTTTGATTTTCATGTGGAAGTTTTTTTTTATGAATGTTTATCATCCATTTTATTGGTTTTTGGCGTTAACGTGAGACATTGATGGTATTGAATTTTTCTGGGGGATGATGAACATGAAATAATTAGCGAAACGTCACATCCTCAACGATCTAATTAAAGTGGTTATTGATTTCTCTAATTTCCCTTATCTTCCACATAATGTATAAAAATGGAAATGAATGCGAAAAAACCTTCAGGAGAAATTATGTGCGAAAACGTAAAAATGGAGCAAAATACTCGTTCAGGAATTTTTACGCAGAACCGCGGAAACACTGCGAAGCGAATAGTGAATTTGCCCTCTTGAATTGTGCAAATTTTATTACAATTCAATTTTTATAACAATTTCTATTTAGTTAGTAGTATGTTAGTTAATTAGTGAATCTTCGGAAATTCATGAAATGATTAAAGAATTGCAATTGAAACACTCATCTTTCTTTCACAAATTGTTTATGACAAATTAATCTTCTGCTAATGTTTTCCTCGTGTCGAATAAAAAATTGCCGCACAAACATTTTCTCTTTTTTTTTCTACCTCTCCATCTGGCTCGTATATCTACCTGGATGAGAGATATTAAGATGAGACATTGATGGTATTGAATTTTTATAGGGGCTGATGAACATGAAATAATTAGCGAAACGTCACATCCTCAACGATCTAATTAAAGTGGGTATTCATTTCCCTTATCTTCCACATAATTTATAAAAATGGAAATGAACGCGAAAAAACCTTCAGGAGAAATGATGTGCGAAAATGTAAAAGAGGGGCGAAATTCTCTTTCAGGAATTTTTACGTAGAACCGCGGAAAAATTGCGAAGTGAATAGTGAATTTTCCCTCTTGAATTTTGAAAATTTTATTACAATTTCATTGTTATAACAATATCTATTTATTTAGGGGAGGGTGGGATAAAATGGACACTAGACTTTTTTTAAATTGTGCATAACTCAGAAACAAATTTATCAATTGAGTTCAGGTTAGGTTCATCACAAAGGGAAAGAATTGTTCTTTGTATTGAAAAAAAAATTAAATTCCATCAACATTTCAACCCCTCATTAACATAAAAAAAAAGTCAAAAGTGTCAGTTTCACCCCAACCTCCCCTAGTAGTACTTTAGTTAATTAGTGAATCTTCGGAAATTCATGAAGTAATTAAAGAATTGCAATTGAAACAATTATTTATCTTTCACAAATTGTTTATGACTAATGAAGTTTTTGTTAACGTTATCCTCCCGTGCAATAAAAATATTGCCGCAGCTCGGATTTGAACCGAGAACTCCAGGTTCCAGACCACAAGGTTTCTCTCTCTTTATCTCTCTCTCTCTCTTTTTTCACCCCTCCCTCTCCGTCTGGCTCGTATATCTACCTGGCGCGTTAACCAATTTCGCCACTGCGGCTGTGAGCAATTTCGAAAAATTGCGAATCCACGGGGAATCGAACCCCGGTCGCCCGGGTGACAAGCTAGCGCTTTGCCAGTCACCCAACTGCTCACTTTAGATCCAACTACGGAAATCTGAGTCATAGCTGGTGAAACGTTTGAACGCGTTGATGGATATTTGTTTATCTCCCCGTTTTGTTTTTCTCCGGAATGATTCAGTGTTGACCAGTTGTATCGTAATTGTTTTCGTCTGAGTTTAGTAGTTACGAGAGGCGGAAAAAAAGCATGACATTTTATTTTTATGGAATAAGAGACTTGAGATACTGCGCTGGCATCGGTTTATGAGGAAATTCTTGGAGCAGTTGCACATCATTCTGGAGAATCCAGACAATTTTAATTAAATTCAGTTGCCTCCCAACGGAGAAGGCCGAGACATCGGGGTGAAAGAGGGAAGGGGACGAGAATTCTTCTTTCTTCTTTGGGTTTTTGATCGACAAAATTTGCTGATGTGTTTTGTGACTGAAACGTTATTCGTTTATTTATAATTAATTAACTTGCCCCCATAATTAAATGAGCTGTGCTCATAGTAGTTCAGTTCATTAATATAAAAACAAAGCAAAACAATGCTCAACAGAATTATCAAATAATGAAAGAATAAAAACAATCATTTTAACCAATGAAAAATTTCAAATCTATCAAATGATTTAATGCATTTCCAGACTTCTTTACATGAATTTTCAAGCCCTGAGGATAATCCACTAGAAATGTTCTTCAACTTATTGTGATCGTGAATATTTCCTCCATCAAAATGTAGAATCAACGACACGGGGGTAGTAGTTAAGCATTGAAAAAATATGGGGACATAGTTGTACATTATTCCAGAGGATCCTGACCATTTTAGTTAAATTAATTTTTTCTATTAATAAGCATTTTAAACCTTACAGATTATTCTGCAGTATGTACATTATCGAATTCGACAGAAGAATTATTGTTAAACAATACATGTTATTCGTGGTCCTTTGCACTCGATATAAATCAAATTTAAGGAGGTGAATTATATTTTAAGGTTTGTGGCGTCAAAAAAGCGATGTAGGATGTATTATATATCAATTGTCTGTCAAGTGTATGTAGCAATACATTAATATAATACGCACGGAGAGAAATGTTCAGTAAAAATTACGGAACTCACAATTCGGTCACCGATTACGGAATCGACTTAGAAAATTTAAGTGACTGTATCGTAATTTTTCACAGGAGATTCAGATAAAAAGTACGGAATGCTCTGGAAAAATTTCGTGACAGTTCCGTAAAATTTCCTACAATCAGATTTCGTTCCGGAATTACGGAAAAGATACGTAATTTTTATTGAATATTTCTCTCCGCGCGGAGGGAGGGTAAAATTCAGTTGCCTCTCAATCGAGAAGTTCGAGATATCAGTGAAAATTAATTTGTTACCTACACTTTCATAATTCTTTCTCATAGTAGTTTAGACTAATTAAAATAATACTGAACCGAATTATCCAACAATTAAAGAAAAAAAAATTTAATCAAGGAAAAATTTCAAGTTTCAAATTTCATATGATTCAATATACTTCCGGATTTCGTTCCGTGAATTTTCAAGCCCTGATGATAATCCACTAGAAATGTTCTTCAACTTATTGTGATCTTGAACATTTCCTCCATAAAAATGAAGCGCCAACGGCATGGGGGTAGTAGTAAAACACTGAACAAAATATGAGTACATAAAGGGTAAGAAGTAAGAAAACTCCCATGTCCAACTTCCCACGATTCTCACCCGCATTAGTTGATTGAATTGCCTTCCGGAGTTGAGGCTCATTTTTTCATTCCAAACCATCAAGCCTATTTATCATGTTAAAATTATCATCCTTTCTAATTCAAAAATTATAACCGTCAATTTCACGAGCAAAGACGAATGTCACCAAGAAAATAGGATAATTGTCAATTTCTTGGAGTAAACAAATACGACAATCGTTGGAGTTTCGAATTCCGAGTGATCTGCGGAGCGTATGCGTGACGCTATAGCAGTCGTGCCGATGAATAATGCACGGGTTGATACTTGGAGCACTAGCTCGGGGATCACGCACGGTTGTCAACTTGATATAACTCTCTTTAGTAATGCCACCGAAAAGATTTTTTCTGGTGGTCCACCGGAAGTGGGCTGTGAAATTTGAAAAATAATCCCAGTTGGTCTTGTAACTGTTGTCAGAAGACGACGCTCGACATCCGGAGGATACTTAAAAATAACTGGTATTAATGTTTGTTTCATCATGCCATTTAGTATTGTTTCAATACAAAATTATTTGATTTCTTCCAACTCAGGCTATTCAACTCGTCTAAAAATATCACACACTGTTGCAGGGATCGGTATCAACTATTATTTTTGGAATATTTTTGTGAAAACTCAGTGAAAGCCCTAATCAATAAATTTCAATTTACAAATTGAAAATTTACTATTTTCCACACTGAAAATAGTGGAAACTCAGGCGACTATTTCTGACAATTTTCAATCTTTTGAAAACTCAATTGAATGTAATGGTCAATAATTCAAAATGTCATTACTATATGAAAGTAAGTATGTTTATGCAAATTTACAACATTCGACTTCTCAAATTGAATTTCAATTCATAAGAAAAATTCTATTTAGCTTTTGAATGAAGATCTGATAGAAAAATTAAATAGAATACATGAGGAACAAAATTCAATTAAATTTACGAAATTGGAATTCTTAAATTGAAATCAAAATCACATGCAGCTGTCACTGGATTTCAAAGAAATTTCCAACAGTGTATTCACCCCCTCGCGGAATATCTCAGAAGATGAACAAAACATTAACACAAACATTAACAACATTATTTTTGTTTTGGTATTCAAAACATTTGAAATATAACACATGAAAACCAAAATTCAATTAAATTTACAAAATCGGAATTCTTAAATTGTCACTTCATTTCCAAAAATTTCCAATAGTGTATTCACCCCCTCGCGGAATATCTCAGAAAATAACCAAAAATCATCAGAAATTTCCTGAGCAATCCGGGAATGTCTGATTATCCCGGTGAAAATGCAGGAGCCGCATTGTCGTGCATAACCTGAATTATGAATATTTGAGAAGTCCGAGGATCGCAAATATGCGGTTTTTCGTGTGTCATCGCGTGTTGCGTGAGAGTAGTTTGGGGTTGACCACCGTCACTCCTACGCGACGGACACATTCTCGTGGTTCATGCACAGACAGCCGCAATGTATGTCTGTAGGTTAATGCAATTCACTCAGATCTCATTGTGAGAATTGTACATCGTCGAATTGATTGATAAGCTCTTTAATACACGTACGTCAACCACCGAGACATGCCTCTACAAACGGGATTACAATCACTGCACTTGAATCGTTGAGGATAATTTTCACGGAAAATTGCCCCAAGAGACACAAAACGCAGTTTTTTATTCATATTTCTCGTAGTTTCACTCGAGCGCTCTTGACAGTGAAACAATATTTTTCCAGTGAATCACGTGTGAAAATTCCCGAGTGCAATGCTCGTGACCTCGGACGCGCTAAATGTACATGTATGTAATGGCAAGTATATATGTACTATAATGCCCAGACGGCATCGGAGAGAAACGGAGCGGCAGATGTTCAAATGCACGCCTGGAAAACCGGTCGGTGTGTTGATGTAGCTGCCGTCGCGAATCGCTATAAAAATATCTACCATTGTTGCAACGAGACGCTCACACATACGTGGGCATTTGTAACGGTCTTATCCAAAATGGATTCATCATGGGGATGATGTTGGGAATCATTGGGATTATGTGGACCATTTTTCATTTTATTCGGCTATTGATTTCTTTCGTTCATGACTGTTGAAAATTTTTTTGGTGATGTTAACTGTACGGTTTTTTTAATGTTTTCGGGCAATTTCGACTAGTCAGTGAGGAAATCAATAAAAACAGCATTTCGAGGTCAATTATTCCATGAAAATTGATAGAAATAGTTGATAATAAAATTGATGATGGATTCTTGAATGTTTAATTAAACATTTGGGTAATTTGGTATTGAAGAGTCATGTTTTTAGTGAAAATTCAAGTAAGCTGGGAAAATATCAACTGCAGTTTAAAGCAATTTGGCTGAATTTTCCGGAAAAAGAGCTTGCATTCGATTTGAGGAAAAAAAGTCAATGGAATTTCAAGTTTCTGTGAAAATTTAAGTGAAGAGACAATTTTTTAGTGGCAGAAAGATGGAAATTTAACAATTTACATGAATTTGCAAGTGAAAATGAATATTCACTGCCCAATTCCCGGAAAATTCAAAGAAATCTGGAATTCAAGGAGAGATTTCTCTGGATTTTCCTGATTTTTCATCAATGTTCCGGAATAATTCGGCTGCAATTTACAAAAATTACAAAATTCCTTGAAATTTAAGTGGAAATGTTACATGTTGGACAGTTTCAAATCTTTTATCGGAAATTTTAGTGGAAAATTTTTAACAGTGTGCTTACTATTGAAAAATTTGGAGTTTCATTGAATTTTTAGCATAACAATATGAAATTTCATAATTTTTTTCGCTACATTTAATTTAATGTACAATTTTCTGGTTGAAATTTTGGATACACTTTGGGGAATTTTCATCAAGTGACGCTTCCACAGAAATTTCAAGGAATTCCGTCAAGGAAATTTCACACTTGGAGGAAAAAATTAATTAAAATTGGGTTTTCAAGTCAATTAATAAATGAAAATTAATAGAAATCATGAAAATTCAGCTGAATTGATTTTTGAATTTTCAATTACTTAACAGTTGAACACAATATGGTGGAATATTCATGTTTTTCATTAAACATTCTGTTTAACTTGACATTTCATGATTTTCCCCCGTAAATCGAATTCAATGTCGCTCTCTTGAAAATTCCTACTACATTTCCATTAAATAACAATGTTCTCGTAGTAATCCATGTGAAACATCTAAAGTGAAATACCCGACATTTTTTTGCTTGATGAAAGCCAGCTAATT